GAGTTATCCTTTGATTTTTGCATCCTGAAATCAATATCAGGTTATCACTCTGACCAGTCAGTGAATGTGACTGACTGGCGAATCCCAGAGAACCTACCACTGGCAGACCCTTATTGCTACAAGCCACAAAGAATAGATATGTTAATTGGAGAAGAATCGTTCTTTGAATTATTAGCTGTTGGTCAAATTAAACAAGGTCCAAGGTTTCCAACTCTTCAGAAAACCCTTCTTGGTTGGGTTGTGTCGGGAAAATATGTTTCCAGGAGTTCTGCTCCTCAAATGACAAACAGTTTGAGTTGCAGTGAAGAGTTGCTAGTATCCATCGATAGGACCTTGAAAAAGTTTTGGTCACTGGGAGAAATGCCATCTACCAAGAAAATTGCCACACCTGAGCACAAGCTATGTGAAGAACACTATCGTAAGACGACTCAGGTACTATCATCAGGTCGGTTCGAAGTAGGGCTCCCGTTTAAATCAGATCCAAATTGTTTAGGCAACTCCTTTGAGGTTGCGAAACGGCGGTTTTTGTCGCTTGAAAGACGATTGCATCGTGACCCTGAGTTGAAGAAAATGTACTTGGAATTCATGGAAGAGTACCTCTCCTTAGATCATATGTCTCCTACTGACAATACGATTCCTTCTACTCCACACTACGTAATCTCTCATCAGTGTGTTCTGAGGCCCCAAAGTACGTATACCAAGCTCCGAGTCGTGTTCGATGCTTCGTCCAAGACGTCCTCACAGGTGGCCTTAAATGACATTCTGATGGTGGGACCTACCATTCAAGAGGAATTATACTCGACACTGCTCCGTTTCCGTCTGCATAGGTTTGCCCTGACTGCTGATGTTAAAAAGATGTATCGCCAAGTGATGGTGAACGAAGCGGATCGGCAGTTTCAGCTCATAGTGTGGAGAAGAGACCCTTCTGAATCCTTGAGATTATACAAGCTCAACACTGTAACCTATGGGACTGTACCAGCCCCATTCTTAGCTATCCGGTGTTTGAAAAGGTTGAGTGAGTCTGCGAAGCTCTCATTCCCTAGAGCTGCTAACGTTATTGGGTCCGACTTTTACGTCGATGACTTGTTGACTGGTGCTGCATGCGTAGAGGAGCTAAGGGCAATTAAGTCCGAAGTGTCTCAGGTTCTTCAGACCGCAGGGTTTGAGTTGACTAAGTGGTTTTCAAACTCACCCGAGATCACCGCATCTGAGAGCACAGCCAAACCCATAATTCAGAGTCGACAAAGGCGTTAGGAATCTCATGGTTACCTACCTTTGAGTTCAAAATTGACAATTCAGTTATGGGTCTCCGAGCGACAAAACGGAACATACTATCGGTGACATCAAAGTTGTTTGACCCCCTTGGTTTATTAAGTCCTATCGTTATAAAAGGCAAGATCCTATTGCAGGAGCTTTGGCTTAACATATCTCGGTTTGTGTATTCCGATCCGATGTCAGCGGTTCAAATACATGCCTTTGCTGACGCCTCCATGAGAGCCTATGGAGCGGGCGTCTATATACGTAGCAGAACTGCAGAAGGTTTAAAAATATCATTGTTGACTTCGAAATCCAAAGTAGCGCCGCTCAAAACCAAAACGCTCCCAAGGCTTGAGATATGTGCCGCTCACCTTCTCGCAGATCTCTGTCACAGAATCAAGCCCCTATTAAACGTGCCCATTGAACGAGTCGTTTATTGGTCGGATTCAGAGGTAACTCTTCATTGGATCCGGTCTCATCCATTGTCGACTTTCGTTTCAAATAGAGTGGCTGAGATTCAAGAGTGGTCAGATGATGCTACGTGGCGGCATGTACCCACGAAACAGAACCCAGCAGATATTGTCTCAAGAGGTTGCGACGTCGACGAAATCGTTCAGTCAATTTGGTTCGAAGGACCATAATTTCTGAAAGAGGAAGAAGAAAACTGGCCCAAGAACGCTCATTTCGAACACTCCGATGATATTCAGCTGGAAAAGAGGAAGACTGCGGTCGGGCTGACCGCTGCTGTGCGAAGTTCGGAGCTGTTAGATGTCATCGAGGGATTCTCGTCACACCTCAAACTGTTTAGAGTGTTCGTGTATGTGTTCCGCTTTATAAGAAAATGTAAAGACCCAAGCCTAAATTTCGAAAAAACTATCTCACCGACCGAATACAATGAAGCCTTTTATAAAATTGTCGAAATCGTCCAGCATCACGAGTATCAAGGAGAAATCGAAAAGGTTAGGAAAGGATCTACAATTGGTCCTAGTATTCAGCGGTTGAACCCTTTCATCCATGAAGACACAGGGACTTGGTGCAACTTTTCGTTGTTGTGAGTGGGGGGGCGACTAGCCAAAGCTCCTATATCATACGATGCCAAGTTTCCTCTGCTTTTGACTAAGCGCTCGCCATTCGTGCGAAGCTATATTCGTCATCTGCACCATTCGAATTTTCATGTCGGCCCACGAGCACTTGTGAGCATCCTTCGACAGAGCGTTTGGATAGTGAACGCTCAGGAGGTCTGCCGTCAGACAGTTCGATCGTGTATGCGCTGTTTTAAATACAAGCCTCGATTGCTGACGCAACTCATGGGGAATTTACCCGCAGATCGACTCCGTGCTCTCCGCCCATTTTCAATTTGCGGCGTTGATTTTTGTGGACCAGTGCACACGACATTGAAAATTCGCGGAAGGATACAAGTCATACATTTCGCTTTTTGTTTGTTTTGCGTCCAAGGCGGTTCACCTAGAAATAGTTTCCGATCTAACCACTGACTGTTTTTTGTTGGCTTTCCAAAGGTTCGTCGGGCGCCGAGGATATCCCCAAGTCGTTCATTGCGACAACGGGACGAACTTCGTCGGAGCGAGCCGCCATCTCAGCGCTCTGCGGATCAGGCTCAAGGAGCAGGGAGACACAATTCGCGACTTCGCGTCAAAAAACGGATGCGAATTTGCGTTCATACCGCCGCGAGCTCCTCACATGGGAGGGCTATGGAAGATAGGTGTAAAAACTGCCAAGGGCCTACTCCTACGGGCGGTAGGCAGCGCGCTCCTAGCCGCCGAAGAGCTCGCCACAGTCCTCGTCGGAATCGAGGCCATAATGAACTCGAGGCCGCTGGGAGCCATCAGCCAAGATCCAAGCGATGGCGAGGCCCTAACACCCGGTCACCTGCTGACAGGCGGGTCGCTCATCGCCCCCCCAGCACTGCGGACTCCGGACCAGGAGAGTCTCAGTTGTTTGCGGCGATGGCGACTTGTCTCGTCAGTCAGGCGAGCGTTTTGGCAGCGATGGTCCCGCGAATATGTCCTGGGGGTGCAAATTCGGGGCAAATGGCACCAGCAACCGAACCCCGAGGAAGGAGACCTCGTCATCGTGGCCGAGGACAATCTGCCGCCTCAGGAGTGGCTCGTGGGGAGGGTCATCGCCACGCACGCAGGAGAGGACGGCATGGTCAGGGTCGTCGAAATAAGGACTAGCACTGGAGCGGTTTTTCGGCGGGCCATACATACAAATTAGCGCCGCTCCCAATGTGTTGAAGCCGATGCATGCGTTCAACGGGGCCGGTGTTGCGTGACCTTCCATCCATGGCGGCGATTATTAGTTATTGATCTTAATTATGAAGTCTAGTGTAAGTTAGGCTAGGGCAAAGCGGGAGCGCAATAAAAGCTCGCTCTCTCGCTCTTGGCGAATTCGCCCCGCTTTGCCACCGTACGTTAGCTAGAGTAAGAGATTTGAATTGTGAAGGAAATATAGTTGTTCGCCAACATTGAAATAAATCGAGCGTATCAATTTTTCGCCCCGCCGAATAAATAATTTAAATTACAGCCACCCAAAGTTTTCGGTTAATTCATTAGAAAAACTTTTCTACTTTTTTAAAGCGTTTTTAATAACTGTTGCAATTTGAAGTTAATGAAAGTCGAAAGGCTGTTTATAATTCACAATTTATTTGCATATGTAAACCAACTTATTGCGTATGTACATATGGGGATGATTGGGCGAACGATTGATGCGAGGATGTTAATCTAATAGCTGCGACGATTAGCTCAAGACTGAAAATGCAAGGGCTGACGGGACAAATGGCCGGGCCCTATGCAGCTAGCTTAGACGCGAGCGAGAGAGTATGATAGCCCGAGAGCGTTAGAGCTGCTCGGGGACGCTGTTAAGCCGAGTCCGAGAGATTGCGACATAAGGAGACGAAAGAATTCCGCTGCATGCGCATATGCGATAGCAAATGATCTTTGCAGTGGGGGCATTGGAAACGACAACACCAAAATGCATTTCCCTTGGGCCGCACCACTGGCAATAATTTAAAATATTTAAGCTGCTTGACCCGACAATTACCAAATATAATAAATAAGACAAATCAGAAATTCAAAAACTATGAATTAAAAGTGTTTTGATCAGAGCTCGAAAATAACGGTCAACACTTTTTTCCTGTGTGGTCGGTCTGGTCACTGACAAAACAGAAAACAACGTACACTCGCTCTCTCACTGAGCAAAACATTTTCTGTCTTCGCTTGTGTTATATGTTTTTTGTGTCCGGTCGAGACGACAACACTAACAACACTTTACACACATACAAGATTTGTATAGATTTGCAAAGTTTCTGATTTTTGCTAATTCCTTTAAGCGTCAATAGTCAACACATTTCAGTCAAGACACCTTTGTCGTTTGTTCGCGACAAATTGCCCAGTAAAAGACAGTAGCAAAAGAGGCTAAAAATCTGTCGTTGCTTGAGTGAATTGGGCAAAAACTAATTTGATCTTTTCTCAATGTGTCGCCCAAATAAGAGTTTTGCTCATACACCACGAAACTGTGAAACCATATTTGCGAACTGAGAGATAGCTTCGTGTCACTGTGATTGCCAACTATGTATAAATAAACCCTGCTTAGCATTTTAAATGCAAAATTCTTGATGAATTTTTCTGTACTATCTAACTTTGCAACATTAAAATGGAATTTTAGTTATATTTCGATTAATGAATGGTCTAATAGCTTTTAATTTGTCTGGCTTTTCGTTATAGCGTGGACCACGGCTTCCAAGGTTTAGTCAAGCGACACGGCTACAAGGGCATGCCTGCTTCACATGGCGTTACCAAGACTCATCGCCGTCCCGGTAACATTGGAGGTGGTGGCGAAAAGGGACGTGTCTGGCCTGGTACAAAGATGCCTGGTCATATGGGTAATCGTTGGCGTGTTCTTAAAGGCCTGCGAATTTGGCGCACTAACGCAAAGTACAATGTCATGTGGGTGCAAGGTAGCTCAGTGCCTGGACCTACCGGTGGCCTCGTATATATATACGATACGATTTTGCCCCTGCGGAAGCTGAAGCAAGCTCCGCCATTTCCGAAATTTTGCGGTGAGGTGGACACTACTTTTGAGGACATTTGGTATGAACAGATGCACAAGTTTAAGGATGAAACTATTATATAGGTTAGGTTAGGTTGAGGCGGCTGCCGGGCTCGCTCGGAGCCCGTCACACTTAGGCCGGTTTCGGCCCGTTGTGATACCGCATAGGATCATTTCCTTCCTGCGTTGTGAGACTTCCTGTCAGCAATTATCCCATCCAGATGCTCTCACAAAGTTCGCTATCCTTCTGGGACATAGTTTGGACATCTCTGAGATGTCGTGTAGAAAGGCTGAGCCCAGGTGCTGTAGCCTTCTTCTGCTGAGAGCCGGGCAGGAGCAGAACAGATGTTCCACTGTCTCCTCCTCTTCCTCGTCTCTACAGCTGCGACAAAAATCGTTATGTGGGGCCCCCAGCCTGTTAGCGTGGGTGCCTATTAGCCAGTGTCCCGTGAGGGAACGTGTGACTACGCTGCACCTTTTCCTGCTTAACTTGAGGAGCTCGGAGGTGCGCTTCATGTCCATGGTCGGCCATGTTTGCCGAGTTGTGCGACATCGTGGCACTGTTTGCCACATATCGTTTTTTAGTCGCTTGTATTGCTCCCTTATGATGAGCTTACAGGTGGCCATTGGCATACAGATATCCTCCTTGTCTTGGAGAAGGGGGATTTTAGTGCCAGATCTGGCCAGCTCGTCCGCTATACAGTTGCCCTCGATGTCCCGGTGGCCCGGGACCCAAATTAGGCTAATAGCAAATTGCTGAGCCATCTCGTGCAGAGATTTGCGGCAGTCTGCCACGGTGGCCGAGTTCGAGGAAATCGCGCTTAGCGATTTGATCGCAGCCTGGCTGTCGCTATAAATGTTTAGCTTGGTTGCCGTGACGGCAGCCGCTTGTAGGCAGTCTAGTGCCTCCCTGATTGCTATGACTTCCGCTTGAAAGACACTGCAATGATCTGGGAGTCTGAAGGAATGCCTTATGTTTAGCTGTTCAGAGTAGATTCCCCCTCCGACTCTGTCGTCCAGCTTTGATCCATCTGTGAAGATGCTTATGGCCCCATCAGGGCCTGGGAGTCCCTCGAGCCATTCGTCTCTATGAGGGATGATTGTGTCGAAGGGAGTGTCTGTATACTCTCTTGGAACTTGGTAGTCTGTTTTTGAGGGGACGGTACTGCTATTTAATATGGCTGAGTGACCTATGCACTGTGTCACCCATTGATCTGAGTCTCTTAGACGTATTGCTGCTGCTTCTGCCCGTTCCTTTCCTGCGAGTTCAAGGCTCTGTAGGCATAGGATGGCATTTAGCGCATCATTTGGGGTGGTGCGAAGAGCTCCGCTGATGCATAGGGCGGCAGTCCGCTGGACTTTGCCCAGTTGCTTGGTGATCGCCCTTTTTGATAGGGCTGGCCACCACACCGTAACTCCGTAGAGTAGTATTGGTCTAACTATAGCTTGATATATCCATTGGACTATGCTTGGGATCATACCCCATCTTAGCCCAATAGCTTTTTTGCATGTATAGAGTGCAGTCATTGCCTTCTTCACTCTGTCTTTGACATTCAGGTTCCAGCTAAGCTTCTTGTCAATTACCAACCCTAAGTAACTGGCACTGTCGCTAAAGGAGAGCCTGCATCCTTGTAGTATTGGTGGATTGAGGGGCGGGACCTTGTATTTATTTGTGAATAATACGAGTTCCGTTTTTGAGGGATTTACTCCCAGACCGCGCGATTCCGTCCAATCCGACAGTTGCGCTAGCTTTGTGGACATTAAGTCGCACAGTGTTTGGGGGTATTTCCCCGAGAAAATAATCGCAACGTCATCCGCATAGGCCACGACTTTGCAGCCCTGTTTCTGTAATGGCACCCGGTACAACGTTGTTGAAAGCTCCCTCAATATCGAGAAAGGCTATGAGTGAGTACTCTTTGTGATGCAGAGATTTCTCTACCGCACTTCATGAAGAGCCGTTTCCGTGGATTTTGCTTTCCGGTAGGCATGCTGTGCGCCCGACAGCAACTGAGGGTGTATAGTTGTCCTCAGTTGCAGCCCGACGAGTCTCTCAAAGGTTTTGAGGAGGGAGGACGATAGGCTGATTGGTCTAAAGTCTTTTGCAGCTGAGTGCGAGGCTTTCCCAGCTTTGGGAATGAAGACTATCTTTGCCTTAAGCCATGTTCGCGGGATTGTACCCACAGCCAGTATCTTCCTGAAGATACCTTGTAGCCAGTTTATGGCCGTATCCCCGGCCTTCTGAAGTTGGGCCGGGATTACCTGGTCTGGGCCTGGCGATTTGAACGGGTTGAAGCTGTTTATTGCCCAGCTTATGTTACGTTTTGTGAGGATGTGATCCATCGAGGTTACCGGTCCCTCTCCTGGAAGATGTGCCGTCTCGATGGTTGTGCACCCTGGAAAATGTGTGTCTAGTAGAATGTGCAGGGACTCCTCACTGGAGTTAGTCCACGTGCCGTCATTCCTTTTAAGATACCCTACCGAGGGGTTAGTTTTTGAGAGAATCTTGCGAAGCCTTGCGGCCTCTGATGTTTCCTCAATTTCCGAGCAAAATTTTTGCCAAGAGGCCCTTTTTGCTTTCCTTGTTTCCTTTTTATATAGTGACAGACTGATTTTATAGTCTGCCCAGTGGCTCTCCTCGTTCGCGCTTTTGGCCCTGTTGAAAAGGGTCCTGCAGCTTTTACGTAGGATGTATATTTGTTTTGACCACCAGGGGGGTTTCTTTTTCCCCCTAGGTTTGCTAGAGGGGCATGCTGCCGCGAAGGCTTTGTTGCATGCCTCTGTGAACCTGTTCACTAGGCGATCTAGGTCGTCTTTTGTGTCAGGGCATGATGGTGCTTTGGAGGGGAGTAAGTCCTCCAGGGCTGAGCTATATTTTTCCCAGTTGGCTTTCCTGGGATTAATATAGTCCTTAGGTTTCGGACACTCGAGGGATAGTGTGGTCTCGATGTATCTGTGGTCAGAGAAGGAGTGGTCATCAAGGACTTGCCAACTCTTGGCTATGTCTAACAGGTTGGAAGACACTAGGGTGATGTCAATAACCTCCTGTCGATTTTTAATTATAAAAGTGGGGTCGTTGCCCCGATTACAAATAAATAGATTTGAGTTAAGGATGAAGCTGAAAAGTGACTCACCCCTTACATTTGTGTTCGAGCTCCCCCATTGAGTGTGGTGAGCGTTGGCATCGCAACCCTTTAATAGGTCTATGTCCGACCTCTCGCTGTCGCTGGCTAGTTTGCGAACAAGGTCGTTGGGGGGATCGTTTCCCTCATGGGCCATGTAGGACGACATCAGCCTTAGATGTGCCCCTTTCAGCTCTAGGCTTGCCGCCGTGTTGTCGCTATCGCTATAATTATGGAGCAGAAAGATATTAAGGTGCTTTCTGGCGAGAATGCAGGTGCGGGTTTTACCTTCATGTTGAGCTACAATTATCTTGTACTCCTTCGACCCTAATCCACAAACCTTGTCTCCCACTATCCAAGGTTCCTGGATCAGGGCTACGTCTGCTCCGCTCTCTTCGAGGCGGAGTATAAGAGCAGCGGATGCTGCTTTACAGTGGTGGAGATTGATCTGAAGGAGCCTCAGGGACATCCTTAGTGTTCTCCACCACTGTAATGTCGGCATCCGGATCGTCCTCGCCTTCCTCGTGGCAACACATCGCCTCGAAGTCGCATCTCAGCGTGCCATCGGTGGAGTAGCCCTCTGGGTCTATCTCTGTGTGCTCGTCGGGTGCTTCGATCTCCGAGGCAGCGTCCTGCTCGACTGGCTTGTCGACAGGACGTGCCTCGGCCGCCGCATCCGACTTGTAGACCTTTACGGTCACAGAGCTGAACCCAAAATTGAGCTCGCCTTTGGCAGCCTCAATCGGGGCCAGCGACTCTTTGTTGAGGACGACCACCGCCTGGTTTGTGGGGCCCTGTGTCGTCTCAACTTTGACCACCTTCCAATCCGCTGTTGGGAGGTGGGGATTGCATCTTTGCATCATTTTTAGGATGCGCTCCGGCTCCTTCATGGAGGCGGGCACCCAGACTCTCGCCCTTGGTCTACTGGGCACTTCGCTCCAGTCTACAGCGACGAGCTTCGCCCGTGGGTAGACTTCCCCGACTTGCGCTACCGCTTTGTACAGCTGTACGGAGCGCTCATCTTCACAGGCTACGATTTTTATGCAGCCCTGGTACCAGCCCATGTCTCTGCAGAGGGGGGGGGGGGGGGTCCAGGCAGCTCGAAGCAGCGGTCGGCCAGTGCCGCTTCCACCCAATTCCACTGGTTCCTAGGGATCCGGGAGTCCACGCTGCCTTTGTACAGGACGCCAATCAGCGTCCTTTCTCTGGCAATCTGCGCGAACGATGCGTTAGGCAGCACTCTGGAGCGCTTCGGTGTCGGCCCCGGAGTCTCTTGCGAGCGCTGCCTTTTTTGCTGAGGGGCTTCCTTCTTCGGTGCTTCCTTGCCAAAGTTCGGCAGCACCTTCGAGGCCCACTCGACCTTCTTAATCCATTTGTCCGTCGGGCTGGACATCTGGCTTGCGTTCTGCCGACGGAGTATGTTGCCAGCACTCCTTCTGTCGGCATATGTAAAGGATTTGGCTTTGACACTAGTAGATGGTGACTCATCCCCCTCCACTTTACCAGCAGGCAGAGCAGCCGCAGGATTGCATAGCCACTCTGCCAAGGTATCGGTTTTGGGAGCCAATTCACCACCCACCCCGACACCGGGATGGGACCCTTTGGGCTCTCCCTAGCATCTTCCGCCGCGCAGGTTTTCCCTGCTGATTTGCGGGTCGGGCCAGGCCTTTGGGCCGCTGCCTTCCCCTGTTTGGGATTGCTCCCTGTTGGCATTTGGGGAGTGCCAGACTCATTTTGTTTGTTTTTAAATTCTTCCATTCTTTTCCCACGAGCTGCAGAGAAGGGGTACGGTCCGTCCGGGCAGAGATCCACGTTGCCCGGATAAGGCATACTTAGAACAGGGGGCTGCCAAGTCCCTGAGCTCTCCGTTAACGACTGGGCTAGTTTTATATACCGGGCCCCCAGCCAGGCTGACTCTCGGCACGGGTCGAATAACACTCTTAGTCCGGCCCGGTGTGAGCTGAA